AGCGTACCAGAAAGATGAAACTAGAAAGGAGAAAGGAAAAAAAAAATAGTGGAGAATTGCCTTCAACAAAATAATAATTGTTGTTCAGAAAGAAAACGAGTTTCCCTCTAGGAACTCAAACCTTATTGGTGTTCAGCGTAGCAAAACAAATGAAAAAGTGACAGTAAAAGGAAAAGAATAACAGAAAATCGGCTTCCTGAAATAATAATTTTTGTTGAAAATGGAAATAACTTTTTTGTAGCAGCTAGAAACCTTATACCTGCTTAGTGTAGTAGAAAGACGAAAACACGGCTGCGAAAGAAAAAAATAGAAGAATAACGCTTTCCTGAAATAATGATGGTTGTTGAAAAGTAAGTGTAACTGTGTCTAGTCACTGAAAGCTTGTAGGTGCTCTGTGTAATGACAAACTGGATCGAGCGGCTTTTTACCACTCTTAGGAATGATAATTATGAGCCACTGTGCATATCCAGAGTTTGTCTATTTCACATTCAACTGATGCTTATATGTGATGCAGAGACAAAGGGAGAGATGTAAGATATGAAATCGAGATGAAGTGTGAAATATGAAAGAGAAAAGTAGAAAAGCTGTGAACCGTGACGCATATATCGTGTCACACTCCCACTTATAAGTAAGATTACCAGATGCAATATGGAATCCACATATTATATAAACTGAACTTTTTGCGATTATTAATCATCCTATTCTTTTGTAAGGTGTACGTAGTGCAAAAGTCGAGCAGAAAACAAAACTCAATGAATTATATATCAGTTGATAGAGCTTTCCGCGCTGCATCAGAATATGTGTCTTTCAGATTTTCAGATCTCACCTGAGTCGAGAAAATCGCAAAATACAAAAAGATTCAGAAAACCCTAAAAATCTGAGTTTTTACCATTAATATCAGGGTTGATGCATGTTTACTTAGATTTTTTTCAACAAAAGCATATTATCTAAATCAAGCATATAAAACTGTGATATTTGTGTGAGTTTGATGAAATTTGATCAATCTTGTGACTTTTGCTTGACTTCCCAAGACCTACCTTGAATATTATTGAGACCCTTAACGTGTAAACCTATCTCCTTTTTTCTGTAAGAGATAAAATAGTATTTTTTTAAGCATTCGAATCATTAGATGGATAAGAAANGCTCGCGCCGCCCCTGATTTATTTTGACAAGTCTATAAATTTTATTAAAATTTTCTTGAGAAACCGCAGCAACAGGGAAAAGTGCCTTTAACAATAATAACAAATTTATAAAATCAGTAGGTACCAAAAAAACTCAGTAACAATCTATGCAAGTCTAAAAGAGGAATGTAGGAAAACTCTTTTTTTGAAAAGAACTATTTATTCAAGAAGAAATAACCGGTTTGGAAATGTAAAGTAACTCTTACCTGTTGTCGAATGCCCTGAGTCATCGTATGGCTCAAGTTTAAGGATAATTCATGCGCATCGTGGATGATCGATATATTATTAATAGAAGTGTTCAATTTGAAATCAACAATTGTACTTTGTTGGTTAGAATAATCAAAGTTGTCTTGAAAGATTGGTATAGAATACAGATAAAATCTCCGACTATATTCGCTGTAATCACCGTCACATTTAACAAGCCAATGTTTGATTTCGAGCCAGAATGATGTTCGAAATGGTGCAATTAGTGACTCGACAGTAGTACTATCTACATCATCGAATACATCACTAGTCATCCAGAATTCGAGCTTGTTCAATAGAGGTAATTTCATTTCGATGAAATTTTCCCATCGAGACCCATCAAGTAATGAAGGATCAATTACAGATGTCTGGCTAATCAGTCGAAGATGCGTTAGCTTAGGTAAAAGTGAAAGCAGTGACTCAACATTGTCCATTGTTATATCAGAACTGTTGTTTAACAACAGTGAAGTTAATTGACTAGACTGTATAACAACAGTCTCATCGAATCGATTCCCATGAACATGTTTCAAAATCAATGTTCGTAGTTGAGGCAAGTGACCAAGGATAGTGTAAACTGTATTCCAATTGCACTCGCAACAAATTATCACGTGCTCCAATCTACATGAAGTAGGCCATTGTATTTCATCGAGAATCCAACTGGTTGCTTTGAATTCGAGTTTGCGAAAACCCTTGTACGATATAATAGATGATAGCAACGCGCTCCTGTTGTGTCTACGAAAGTAATGAGTTGATATTGAGAATGTTGTGAGAGGATATTGCATGATATGTTTTTGAAATTCATTCAAATCTTCATCTTTTATGTTAAACAGAGTCAATGAGCGTAGTCGAATAAATCGATCCATACGAAAATAGGAAAGAAATAATCGGAGTTGACCAGGTATCTGCATTTCATCCGAAAGCGTAAATGAAATAACATTTTTAGGGTCAATAATACGTGCCATGAGAGGTAGATCAGATTTTGACATAAAGCGGAAATCGAGCTCATAACGATTATCAGCTTTAACAATAGAGTAAAGCCGTTTAGACACACAGCGAATCGACAAGACACTCGTTTCTGCATCGAGATTATCGAAAATTCGATGAACAATCTCGATGGGTAACGTTTGAAAATTAGATTTCTTTCTAGTAGACATAAGTTGTAGTATGCAGAACGTGCAAGTACAATATGTTTTTCTTCCAACTATACGTCGTAATCGCACAACTACATCGAGTGTGTATTGTGGAGAGGTGCATCATAAACGTCTATATAGAATGGAAAAAGCACGTGCTTGCATACATATCGGCCAAAATATTGCAAAAGAAATGTAATAATTATTCGTCCACTCAACTTCCGAATGTTTCACAATGAAAATGTAATGACCAACGTTTGAAATTATGGGTGTGGGGTCCTCTTTACTAAAGCTACATTCGCACACCCGTGCCCGCATCCAACATGTCGATTGACCATCGAGTACTTTAACATCGATACTAACTATTAGGGTCTCATTGGATTTAGCTGTTTGTAGAGTTGGTGTATTTCTTTACGTCCTCGGATTTTTAATACCGTTTTCTATCATATTGAATAATATTGACGTTTCTTCATCAACAAAAACGAGAATAGATACCGGCAGGTATATAAACTTGTGATGCACAATCATACAAAACATCTCTATAGTACATAACAAATATTTTCCGAAAAAAAGCTCTTCTTATGTATGGAACTTTAATATAATGATACGAGGTGTTACGACGACAACCTTGAACTATTCAAGGTTCTCTTTACAGACATTCCATTTCATTCGAAAAATAATATTCAAATGATCTAGTTCTAATATCCAGTTTGACCTTAGTATGTAGATTATAGAAATGAACATGATTGTTCTTTGAAATATACAATATACATGCACAGGTGACGCAATATTTTGAATCTAACGTAGATTCAAGAATCTTTTTAAGATACCTAGCAGAAAGTAAAGAACTGATATTTTGTATCGTATAAAGCTGGTATAGTTAAGAAAAACTTCGCAACTTGTGTCAAACAACGTACACTTAAAGAAACAGGCTAACATTTGACTGCATTGAATTTCGACTCTGGAAAGTTGAGTTTTCGATCTGATCTACTAAAAAGCAGACTAATGATGAAGGAGTAGTGTTCACAGAGCAAAAAAAACTTAAGGCTTAGCTCCTGAAAGTGAAAAAAACATTCGACAGTTTGTAGCTAATCTAATTCGAATTTCTAGTACAGTTCTTCTTCATTTGCAACAAAGCAGTACTACGTGAAGGCATTAAAAGAATGTAGGGTCCAACATTTAGTCTTATAAAATTCAATGTTTTCTCAAGAACGACTTCAAATTCTCCTCCACAATGAAAATGTTACTATTTATACAAGAATTTCGATGTACTGCATAAATCTAATCAATCTAATGGAACAAACAAAAACAAATGTTTGAGCTCACCCAAACCTCAGGACTCCGTCGCCTTGGTATATGTTCATTTTGTTTTGTTCATCGAATATTATATCATGTTCTTTTGTGCATAGGGCTTTATTTAACGTTTAGAACGATACCTATCTAAGCAGATTTTATGAAGATTATGAAATAAAAATATTCAATCAGTCTTACCTTTAGTCCTCTTTAAGAATTATTTTTTCTTGTATCTTCTGGAGAAATCAGTCTTGCAAAAGGATTTCTGCAAGGAAATTAACGAGGGTGTGAGTTGGATGTTGATGTTTGCGTGCATTAGGGTGAGTTGGACACCCACACCCTTTATTTTTGTAATTTTTTTTTCAAGGCTTACACATGAATTAATCAGTGAATGTGAAATTTTAATTTCACAAGTTGTATATTAATGTAGCATTGGTATAATACATAGTCTCTTAATCAATCAGACTGTACTAGTTGAATAATTCACAATATATTAAATCTTATTTATAGTAATTGACATTAATTTAATAAAAATCTTGATTTTCTTTGAAAGAGATAATAAATTATTTTGATAGCCTGAGAAAATATTGGCATACTTCAAATATATAATAGCTTCGAACTATTAAAGATGAAAATTAGACATACAATATTAGAATCCTTACACTCATATTTATCTTTTTTTTCTATTGAATATTTAAAATATAATTTAATCCATTTTCATCAATTAATACAAACGTCAATATGATCTTAATAAATTGTTTTCAAACGGAAATATCTCTAAATATGAGCATTTGCCATTGTGATAGACACTTTAACATTACATTTAAGTTGAAGTAGACATTTTTTCAATATTCCAATTTAATATGTACTGATAATGTCAACTTGATCAGTTGCCAAAATTTGATAAAAAATATTCAAAGCCAAGGAATCCGAATTCTCAATCAGTTTTTCAATATCCGTTGGATATGGATGTGGATTTCGGATATTAGTAGAAAGAACTCTCATAGGTACGTCCTCAAGAATAACTTCACCATGACAATATACATACACCTTCTTATATCTGTTGGAAACTTTTTTTCTCCTTTTATCTACTTCAATTGTTTTATTCTATATGTATCAATCTCTTTTTGACATGTTTTATTTAAGTAATTATTTATAATAAATTAGAACATATATGCGCATGAGGAAAATAGTGTTTGATATGTTCATCATCTAGAGATATGCCATGTATAGATAAATAACTCACTTTTTCACAATTGTTTCGTGTTGCTCCTCTTTCAAAATTGCGTGCCACTCTTTCCAGTGATCGATCAACAGCAAAAAGAAAAACATTATTCGGTAAACACATTTTCGTATCGACTAGAGATTGTTCAATACAATCATCATGAGCTTCTTCAAGAAAAAATTTAGTGAGATGAGGATATTTAATAATTGATAAATCTTGATTATCATTGATTGATTTTATACATCGTTTATCGATTTGTGATTTTCGATTAACTACAGTTAATTTTTCCATAGATGGAAATGATTGAGCAATTCGAAGAAAAAATTCATGTTCAAAAGGACGTTCATCATATAAACCAACTTCAGTAACATATTTACATTCTTCGAAATAATCAACACAAGAAATAGTTTGATTATTATGAAAATATTTAAATGTATGTTGATTATCTTCATTTGATAAGCAAATTCATTTGATTAAGACCATGATGATATGAATAAATATTAAACGTAAATTTTTTAATTATGACATATGATTAATAATATTATTCTTCAATTCATTACTTTCAATCAATCCTTTATCACGATTAACTCTAATAAGTAAATTAAGGTTTTCTAAATTTAGCATTCGATGTAGAAGTGGTACACCGAGTTGGTCATATTCAAATATTGTGTTATTACAGTGCAAAGAAAAAAGTCGTAAATTCGATATTTTATCCTAGAAACGAAAACAAATATTATTTCATTTGAATAAATGATATTAACGAAAATAATCTACCTTATTATTAATTATTCTAGGAGAAAAGATAATAATCAAGATATTAACATAAAGTGTATGAAGTTGATTGAAACGGTCATCGAGTAAATAGAGACAATCGTTGAAACTTTCTATATCGACATGTAATTCTAACAGAGTTGAAGAGATAATTGTTGAAGGTGATACATAAAAAGATAATCCTTGAAGCGAAACTGAAGATGGATCGAAGCTTAAATACCGTAAATTGGTAAAAACATTAAAGATTTGTGTAAACATAAGTGTATACACATTCTCCGTTTTAGTTCGACTGTTGTTCTTGACAATGAAGTCGATAACAAGTGATAAAAGTTGATTTTTCAATATATAAACAAAAGGAGTTTTATCTAAATGAAAAGATTAAAAGTTAATGAGAAAAAATATTTATTATATTTATTAAATTCAAGTATTCAATTTTTCTTTTCCTTGTTGACAACGTTCTAATGTACATGAGCTTAATTTAAATTCTTTAATAAATGATATCGTATCATCAATGTTATATTTCATCTCAATCATTTATTCTATTCTACACTTTCTACATTGATCATTAATGAATGTTCCAGAATCTCAATTGAGTATAATATAAAATATTCTTTTTCATTTACATGAATACTTCTATTTTTTTCTACTAACGGATTTCTTGTGATATATCATCATCGGTAAATACGGATGAAATATAAAATTATTATATAATGATAAATGATGTGTACTCATCTAATTCTAACTGTACAAATTATACAGTTAAAATAAATCATTTATGTGTTAATGATTAATTATTGAAAATAATCAAAAATACGTTACCAGTAAAGAGAGCTTTAGCTCCTTCTACGTCAATACCATGCAAACCAAGTCTATATAAATTAGGATAATTCGTAGCAAGAAGTATTCGTTCCATAGAAGTTGATTCAAGACCAAGCCAATTGATTTGATGAGGAATTTCAGGCAAAATCTGTGAACAAAATAGATCAAGTGTAGGATTAGGTAAGGGGAAACACATAGAATTATTCGAACATCTCATCAATGATAAACGGCTTGTAAAAATTCAATTTTTAAAATTGAATCATGTGCAATTGTATTAAATCGTTTATTAACATCTATTAGAAAATTGAGTAGATGTGGGGTAGATGTGGGTGTACTTGAAGAAAGAATCGCACATTTATACCCATACCCACACCCCCTGAACAATACCCTGTGATTGTTCAAATAAAAACTTGTGTTTGATGGAATTTGACGAGAATCAAATTCGAGATTTTAATTTTAATATGTGAAAAATCTACAAGTTGCAATTTCATCATTTTTGAAACAACGAGATAGAATGTAAAAAAAACGATTTTTCAAAGTGATGAATAGACATTGTTTAGATCACTCGAATTCGACACACATTGTCTTGTGGTAGAAGAAAAGAGTCCACTGAGAAATTGAGATGTGAGTTCTTCTTGACCAACTTATTTTAAAATCGATCAGATTGCTTTCAAGTATTGTAATTGTAGTGGAATGAAGATTATCATCGTTAGATATTTGTAAAAACAAAACAATCAGACAAATATTCAGGAAGGTTCTGGATGCAAACTCATTTTCTCACACAAAGTCTCACACTCCAGCGTCAAGTAAAGGTACAGGTACAAGTGTGAATGGAAATACAAGCAGCCACGTGAAGTCCTCGCTTGCACCCGTGCTATTTAAGTTTTTCATTTGAGCATTCTCAATTTCACTTAGAAGCACCTAAACTACCGTAACTATTTTCATCCATAAGTGTGCATAGAGATGCTTACAAAGACAGATTTTCAACCTGGAAAAGGTGCTATGTTTTTTGTGGTACTTATGCGTGTTTGTCAGGCAAAATGATGTGTGTGTGACGATTAAATGACACTTGAAACCCACAAACCACACACATCAGACCCATAACTGAAAGCCTGACCTACACCCTCACAATATTTATATAATTCAATGGTTAAATATAAATATTTTTTTTTAATTTCAAAGACAAATCAGAAACTAAAATACATGAATGATGAAACAACGATATGTTCCTATGTTAATACTTCATCACAATTAGTGCAAATGCTTTTGATTTTCCCATATAACTGTTCTTTTCATAGTGACTAACAATATCAATACCAATACAAAGAGATTGCCATACAAACACAGTTTGAACTCAAAAAAATTATATTAGATGATTGAAAGTGTGTGATATTTGTTTATTACAGTTATGTGATCAAACTGACTTCTCAAATTTGAATTTATTGGTAAATTATGGGCTCATTTAGACATCATTGAACAATAATTCAATCACACTAAATGATTCAGAATACATATTATTTTGAGCCTATACTGTTCTTTTAAACTGAGTCCTTTAATGGCTTGATATGTTTATATCTTTCACGATCTTTCGTGAGTCACAACTACTAGATGCTACTTAGGGTGTGGACGTGGGTGTTCAAGAGAATGGGCACACACCACCCACACCCACTCAATTTGATTTTAGATCGTATTTTATATGCATTTCTTATGTTGAATTCATTAAACGAAGTCAATTAAAAGATTATTCATTTTTGAAAGAAATTTACAGAAAATTTTCTTATGATTGTAGATCGATTTTCTCCTTATGGACTTTTATATCGTCGTCATTGGTTTTTGAAATTTCGTTTGTCTTTCAATTACAAAAATTCTCTATTCAAATTCTTTCATTTAGGTATAATATATAACCTGATATTGACTATCTCTAATATGTAATCTATTTCTTATTCAACAATTGTGTAAGTTGAATACTGGTTATGATTGATTTATTGATAGTACTTTCTATGATTGTGAAAGGTGAATGTGGGTATGGATCTATTCTATTTTCATCCAATACCCACTCATGTTACGAAAAAAATAGAACAAAGCTGTTTTCACACTTATAAAAATTTAGGTAATTTTTTCTTTTTGCTTCTAATACTCCTTTATTTTCGGCTTATTTCAAAATCATATTAAATAACACATCGAAGAGATAGAATTCTATCTAAAGTTGTCAACAAATATCTGATTGTAATACTAACACAATTGCTATGATCTTTAGTTTTATCATATTTATGCATCTTGTCGTGTGTGTTGAGAATAAGTTAGTCTAAATTCCATCAACTCAGTGTCTTTATTTATCTATGAGATTCATAATTGCCGATCGATAAGATTGGAATTTTGGATAAAAACTGGAAATGATTGTCCAATAGTTTCGTGAACGATGTAGAAGTGAAGCAGTTGATAAGAGAACGATGGAGATAAAAAACCGTCTTTCAGAGGAAGAAAATGAATGATGATGATACTTACCATCAATTCGCTAAGACTTGACAGGATTCAACGATTTCTGAAGATTTCCGATGTAAGGATGTTCTTGTGTTCTACAGACACTGATATATTCATGTTTTAAAATTGAGTTCATTCTTTTCAAATATTCATTTTGTTGCTCAGAAATGACTAGATAAAAACGAACCTCATAACCATCATTAGTGTTCTTTACCACATCTGTTTCATTGAAATTGAATAATCGATTATTGTGGTTACGATTTTGCTTGATAATATTGACGAAAGATATCGATCATTTCTTTCTTCGCTTGTTGATTACGTGCTAGACGTAAGATTATAATTTACAGTAATGGAAAAAACAAAAACTCGGTTGATTCTTTTGACAAATCTCCAATTGATCTTTCACATGGATCAAAGAAATTTATTGCTTACAATATTTTATCAACAAGATCGAGTTGTTCTTGAATCGATGAACTTAGTTCGCGAAAATCGATATAGATACTTATAATTTTCGAAAATTCCTTTTAATTCATTTGAGCTGGAACTTTTTTCGAAATATTTTGTTAATTAACTATGCCATAAGAAATGATTTTAGCTTACAAGCACATGTAATTGATTGAAACATACAATTTTTTTAGTGTTAAAAACGTTTTACATTTTACTTTTTTGTAAGAGCTTTTGGAAACCGAATGAATTTTACTAGAAATATATGAATGATAAGCTGCAAAGCATCTTGTTTTCAATATAAAAAATTCTCAGCAAAAAAGAACTAACTTTCTATTACATTCTGTTCAAAAACAACAGAATCTGACTGTTGGGCAAGGACTTTTGCATTAAGCATTACTCTACTTATTACGAGAGTTCTTGAATGTATTTGACGTCATGCTGATTCATTTAATAGGAAAATAAAGGATAATGCTGAGTGTTGTTGTTTTTTTTCATATCAACAATGTTGTCTTTTTTTTCTTTTCATTTGACAGTCACTAGCACAAACAAGTGAGATTCGTTTTAATCGTTCTCTATTTGAAGAATTGACTTCTTTTTCGAATATTTGGATACATACAAGTAACTATGAGTTTATGAAAAGTAAGTCTATTAGTTTTTGATGTAACAAAAAAAACATTTCATACAATGATTTTCGATGAAGTCGATTGATTTATGCCATAAAGAAAATATGATTCTTTTTTGTTTGGCAAGATTACTCTGTTTTCATCACATATGATTTATGTTACAATGCATAGATGTAATAAGAAAAACTGCAGAATAGAGTTCTGTTTATATTACAAATGCCATAGATATGTACTTTTTGAGAAAAATTTGATGCTATGTTGGCATAAGCAGAAAAGATCCGTTAACATTGACACCAAATCGATTTACCCTACTTTGGTCGAAAGTAAAAATGTCGAAAGGTAAAAATGTCGAAAATAAAAATATCGAAAACAACAATATCGAAAACAACAATTATAGAAATACCGAAAGGTACAAATACTGAAAATGATAGTGTATGAGAGGAGAAGTTCCTTCACCCTCACCCGCACTCTTACATTCACATCTTGATGCCTTATTTTCGTTTTCGACATTTTTACCTTTCGACCAAAGTAGGATTCACCCACTAAATCATCGTTATTGTTACTATTACTTAAACTTATTCATATTCAACACATTCATGATACACAACATAAATGGCCTGAAAATGTTTGAAAGATATTTTCTTATTGGCACATTTGTTTTTTTTTGGATTAATTCTGCTTCAATGTCATAATCAAATATACAATGCATGGATGGGCCTATTTCGTATCAATCTTGATCTAATTGCTAGTCAAGTTGAAGTATGCACTAGGCTCCAGCATGATACAAGATTTGTTTTTACTCATTGGTTTTTATTTAATCATGAACATCTTCAAATAGAACTTGGTGAAAATATGATTGATGAAGATACGACAAGAGTATTCCGGGTGTTCAATGAGTGTGATCCCACACGCACACCCCATATTGTCCAAGATCAATTTTTTTCGACTAGCTGATACATCAATAAAAGTTGTAAATGTTGAATTTCGGACCCAACTAGTGAGTATGCACGAGAAACATTCTTGTCAAGCTAATTTCTCAGAAATTCCGAACCTTTCTTTATGAGTCTCGAAGAAAAATGGATAAAACATTTCATGAGCCCATATTCAAAAAGAATGGCGAATTTTAAGCCATATGATGTGCTTTTGACTCTCACCAGTTGCATTTAATGAACTGAAAAATGAGCAAATATTTTGTATGAATACTTTTTTCACAGAAATTATATCTCCAGTAAAATATTCAAATATTAAACGAACTTTCAAGTTTAACATCAGAATTATTTGCAGAGTTTGAAATCCATACTGTATAAGTGCCACGAGAAATAGTCCATGTCTGATTCGCAACATTCCAATATGAAATGTCTTTTTGTGTTAGTACTAACGATACTTGCTTGGATTCACCAGCTGCTAAGTACACTCTTTCGAAACCTCGTAATACTTTTAGTGGTTCTTCGGCTTCAGAAGGAAATCCGAGATATAGTTGAGGCACTTCTGAACCACAGACTTTACCAGTATTGGTAATTACAAATGTTATTTCATAGATAGGCTCATAAAATCTTGAAATACCAATATTAGCATAAGATCTTGCTTGGCGTTGTCGATATTGTGATGAAGCAGTATGCTGACCTTCTGCAGCTTTTGAAATATTAAGTTGAGAGAAAGAGAATGTTGTATATGAAAGACCATATCCGAAATAATATCGTGGTGTAATGTTGTATTTATCAAAGTGACGATAATCTAAGAACACACCTTCTCTATAATTCGAGTTCTCAGTTAGACTAATATCAGTGCCATAATCAGATTCGTGTTTAGCCAAGGTAAAAACAAGTTTGCCGCCTGGATTGTAATCACCAAATAGTACATCAACAAGAGCTGGACCATACTCTGATCCAGGCAAACCTGACCAAACGACACCCACGACATGAGGATGATCAATCCATGCTTCAAGATTAAGTTGTGATACACTATTGACAATGACAATAGTTTGAGAACACCCTGAAGCAACAATTCTAACAAGTAAATCACCATTATCTGCAGCATGAAGGTCTAATCTATCGACTCCTTCAGAGGAGAAAGCACTAATAAAAACAAGACATTTAGCATTAGCGAAGCCACGAAATTTGAACGAGGCATTAATAACGTCAACATCCAACTGGTTCGTGATATATCGAATTTGCAGATGAGACTTGCGAGCTTTGGACAAAAGTGAAGTAAGAGGATCTACAGCGTATGTTGGTTCAACATAGCCTGAACCTCCGCCTTGATATAAAGCTCCTCCAAGCTGTAACAAACCTGCCTCACCGAAACCGTGTTTAGATCGACCTGCAGCTTCTCCATAAACAAGAAAGGAATAATTCGTAGTTATATTAAATGGTAAGACATGATTGATATTTTTCAGTAAAATAATGCCTGCCATACCAATTTGACGATTAATCTTGTAATGATCTCCAATTGCATCTCGATCTAAATCGATCGTCGGATATCCTTGATCTTGTCCAAGAAGATAATAAGGTGCTAATACTCGAGTAATCATATCATCAATTCTGGCTTCTGGAATAGTTCCCTTTTGAACAGCTGGTACAAGTACACTGCCCATCAGTCCGTCACCACCTGGCATATCTATATCTAAACCGCCTAAAACTGATTCGACACCAATTCTTGTTGCACCCCAATCAGACATCACATTGCCCAGAAAGCCAAGTTCTTCTTTCAACAGCTCATTTAAAGTTCTCTTATTTTGACAAGCTGGTGTACCGTTGACTCGATTGTATGAACACATAACCGAACCCACACCAGCAGCAACGCTCGATGCAAATGGCCAAAGATAAATTTCATGCATCGTTTTATCATCAAGATTGGCTGAATAGGCCACGTAATTAGTCGCCTGTGGACGAATTCGATTACGTGATGCATCAGAGGAACGATGAGTTTCCTGTTCATTACAGATATAGTGTTTGGCAGTTGCAACAACACCTTGATCTTGAAGACCTTGAACATAATAAAATGCATTTTCTCCTGATAAGTATGGATCAGCACCAAATCCTTCCCAATTCCGACCATGTCGAGCATTTCGATCGATATTCATCATTGGACCCAAAGCAAAATGAAGACCTTTACTGCGAAATTCTTCCCCTATTGCGACAGCACGTTTATAGAATAGATCTCGATCCCAAGTAGCTGCAATTTGTATACCAGGCGGAAAAGCAGTTGAACGTTGAACACCATCACCAACACCGGATGGTGCATCTTGGAAACAAAGACCAGTAAAATTGAGACGCGATACAGATAGAATGTTGCCAACACATGGACCTTTAACTCCAGATGTCATATTACATTTTTCTTCTAATGTTAATTGTGAAACAAATTTTTTGGCCATAGAGATAGCTTGATCCCATGTTCTACTTTGAATCGATCGATACACATTTGAGTTGGCATTAATAATGGGGAAGCAATTGAAAAAAAACAACACAGTCGTAATAAATAAGAAGAGATGATTACCAACCATTATGAAGACAATATTTCTTAGTTTGCCTTACAGTGTAGATTCGTCCGGAAGGAAAAACGTGAATAGAAAAGAAAGATGTGCTCTTCTTATCAGTTTTGCTCGATACCAAGCACGTGTATCTCGTGACTATGTCTACTTACTGATAATGCGATGCACAAAATATTCTTGCTGAAGAAAATACGTGATACTACGTAGAAAGTTTTAAATTTCTTTTATAGATCACAAACCAATCTAAGAATATGCAACTTTTTGCGGTGCTAATTATCTGTACAAAAAATAAGATAAGAAATCTATGTAGAGAGAAAGGAAAACGAGGCATGAATATGAATTCGTTTCATTACATTCGTTTGTTATCTTTTCGTGAAGAGGAAAATCGATCGATACATTCCTTGTTGAACGATGAGACTACCGTATCGTTAACTCTAAATGAAACAAAAATGAGTTATGATTCTCAAAATCCTATCGAAAGTCATATGACTAAGGAATGACTCGTTCTATTCAAAGTGGTAAAGGCAAAAAATCTTATTCAGTCACCTATGACAATTAACAATACACTAACTGGGCATAAAAAAGCAGACGAAAGACAGTACTTGTATATATATACAAGTATTTGGAAACGGAAAGAACTCATGAGAATGTGCTAGAACGAGAGAGATTCTACATGAATAATACGAATGAATCAAAACACTTTAAAAAAAACAGTGGTTTAATATATCCTTTAGGGGTTTAGGAGTTGTTCATATACCTTTACGAACGGTTTATGATAATTTGATTTAAGGTAAACAAGGTTTATAAAATCTATGTCATATCCCTGAAAGGGTTTAGGAGATGTTCATAAACCCTTTTATAAACTCTTCTGAATAGTTTATGAAAGATTATCTGGTTTTCATAAACCCATTAGAAGAGTAAAGAAAACGATTTATAACTGCCATAAATCCTTTTGTAAAACTTTTCGAAGGATATACAAAAGGGCCGCTTCGTTTTCTATTTCGAGATAATTTATCACATCAACAACCAGTAATGACGAACGGCTGACGTCAACATCATATTGTACCCATCTTCACTGGAGCACATCTAGATCGAGGTAGTCTAATCTGACGTTGCGTGTACATAAGACTAAAATGAAATTAGTTGGGAGCCAGACAGATCTTAGGCGAGCGTTTCAGCGTTAAAGGGGTCCCTTTACTTAAGAAGCCACTTTTTTTACGCTTTTGAACAAGTTACTGTACATCAATACTGATCATATGCTTCATCTTCCACTAGTATCACCTATTTCATGTTGAATAAATATGAGACCTCACTTGCCATGTATAAAGAAAAAAGTCGAAACAATTAGCTTGTTCTCTAACTTGACCCCCGATTACAAACCGCAGCAACCGCGCACAATAGGCTTCAAATTTCTTTTTTCAATAGAAAAAAAGGAGTTGAAAAGTATAAAAAATATAAGCTTGACTGTTATACAATATTTCAACGCCTTCATTAATATTGGAAAAACTATCACATTTGTCACAATTCTTAATAGCGATATTGTCGACTTTTTTTAAAATCTCAACTTGCATTTTAAAAATGAAGAATGAAAAGTAGTAATAGATTGGTCTACCATAGCAATTATATAATCAACATAAAAAGCATGATTCGATCTCTTTATCAGTTTACAAAATAAACAATATTACTATTTATGAGTTAATTTAGATACATAGTCGTACGGTAAGAGCTGCTGATGCATATATAATGCATTATTATAACAGTCTGATTTATGAGCTAGTTGATGGTGAAGAAAAATAATAATGTCAAATCAAAAAAAAACATAAAACTGACTAATATCGAGTGCATAACAACAATTATAAATGAAATCGGGCGCTCTCGAACAAAAAAAAGTCTGCTTTAAATGTAGAAATAAATAATAAAGTCTCGCTCTTGTAATCGATTATCAATAAAAACAACTACATTGTACAGGAGATTTTTCAGTTTACATATGATGTCTTACGATATCAAGCTTTAAGGATATATGTGAGTTCTACATTTCAGCTCCAAAGGAGCTGCACTAACAAGCTTTTGTTTCTATGTATCAGGGTATTTATTGTTAAATTTTTCTCAGTAAACAATTAAAATGAAAAATGTCAAATTTCTCAAATATAGAAAATAAATCGAATTGATTACATAAGTAACTAGACTAGCTTTTCTCGTTTAATCTTAGACAATGAATATTTGGCTCATTATTGAAAGTATAATAATGAGAATTATTTTTCCCAAACAACATGTATAAACGTAACCAATTAGAATTTTGGATATTTATAGAAGAAATTTGTAGTAACTGACCTACTGATAATCTTTTTAAAAAACCGCTCTAAAAGTGATGTTGAACAATTTACTAAGATACATAAAACTACGTACATTAAACATAATATGTATTTTTTTATTATTTAGTTCTAATATGAAAACTGACGAAGAAGAAATAATTGAATTAAGATGAATTTGAAACTTCTTTCTCAACTATAATCGGTGTATTACTTTTAAATTGTTCTGCTTAATTAATTACAAGAGAAAACTCAGAAAATATAATTAATAATCGAAATCAAACCTGAAATTCTTATATCTGTATGCACACTGGTGCATTCAGAGATTCTTATCTATCATAATAGTACACTTGTTGCATTGGATTATCCTAGTTTTGTTTTCATAGCATCTTTTATCATATTTGTCACTTCTGTGATGTTTGTTCGAACTGAAGAAAACAAATAGGAAATAGTAAAGCTCTTTTCATTAGTTCAATGAAAAAAAGAAAATGATGCATAAAATCAACCATACCAAATCGTCAAAAATCCACTATATGTCTTTTTTTCTCACATAAAAGAAATTGGTTGTATAATCTCTTTGAATGTTGCCAAATGAGGTTATTTATTTTCACATTACAAAAAAAGACAAATGTTGGCTTATCATTATTGAGCATTTTTCAGTATTGATCCTTTATCAGTAGTAAGTAATGATAATTATTAAATAGAGTCATTCACTCTCAAAAAATCGATAATGATTTTGAATAAAGAATTAAGAAAAATATTTTCATATTTAAAGTCTCTTTTTATTACAATTTAAAAATTAGCTCAACCAAAATTTTTATGATTAATTTCAGGTAATTTTTACAAAAGTAAATACTTGATTCAGTTTTTAACATTGTTAATAGAATGAATTTTCAAAATCATGTCAGAATTTAGTGAAGGAAGACTTTGAGATGATGAAGATCAAGAAATATATGAAGCGAAACGATTGATAAACAATACACAAATTGAACGATTTATAAATAATTATGAGGAAGAAAAGAAAGAAAACAAGGATGGACTAGCAAGAATATAAACAAATAATCGATAATTATTTGTTACATTCACCTAATATGATGAATATTTTAACTTTTAAGTGAACTTTCATTCTTATTAAATTTAAAAAAATTTTGTCAAAGAATTTCTCAAACTTTACATTTGACCAATGAATAATATTGATGAAAGTTGCGAAGATTTGATTTCCAATTCTTATTTTTCCAAATCGTTTCTAACTGATTAATTAAAAACAATAAAAATCAATTCTTGTTGATCGCAACTAATTTCATTTAATAATGATGTAATTAATAATAATCAGTGAAAAATTCTCTATTTATTATGAAACTTATTTTAAAAAAAATTGGATTTTAATAAAAAAAATTACGATTTGCAGAAAGATAGTTTGAGTTTCTAAAGATGTATAATTAGTGGGTTGAGATCTGTTGTGGATGTAATACGAGTGTACAACTAACTGCTTTACCAGTTAAATCATTAGTTAGGACAATAAAAATAATAGTCAATTAAGAAAAAATAAATAAAACAAGAAAATAAATAATGAGCAAATAGCAACAAAGAAATAAAGAATAGAATACCAGTAAAAACAAATAAAGAAAAATAAAATACTGTGCAAAATGCGAACACAAATAAGACAGATCGTTTCTTTGACGGTCGATTATTCCCGAAAGGCAACTATCGTCTATTAGTTATTAGTTATTTGACGTATGTTATATTAGCATAATAACGATGAAGAAGATATGTAAGTTCCATATTTTAGCGCCAAAAGAACTACGATAACAAGCTTTTTTATTTTGCAACTTTTGCTGGCTTCAACAATATGTTCGCACTTTGTAAGAAAGCATCAAGAACTAAAATCTTTCCAAGTGCACGTAGCAGGTCAAATCTAATTGATGTCGTTTTGATATGTTGTATAGATGATGATTAGCAATATATTCTTAGCAATAATTTTGCATTATATCTTTTCGTTTTAAGTAAAGTTTTTATTAGAATTTAATTTTCGTGGCTCATATTATCAGTCGACAAATAATGTCATGATAAACAACCAAAATAAAAGACTAAAAACTACATATAATATCAAAGTGTTTAGTGTGAAATTTAAACTAAACCGATGAATACAGTGCAGGTTGACAAGCTTCGATATAAGTCTGATTTTGTTAATCAATGATCGTTTAATATAACTTTTAAGAAAATCAGATCCAGATAGTAATTGAAGATAAATTGTATAACATCCTAGTGCGAAAAAACTATCAACAATTGACATAGATCTTTTTGCAAAATACATGCTTGTATCTAAATATAGATAAGAATTTAGATGTGGCAAGCGACTCTACCTTCTTTTATCAGCACAGTGAAATATAAAAGAACGTTCTTTTTTCGTCAACTTATTTTCTCTTCGCATTGTGGTATTACGACACCATGATAATATCAACATTTTTTTTTCTTGTTATTTTTTATCTCATGAATTGAACAATGAACTTGGTAGAACACCTCAAATGAGTAAGAGAAAAAAATTATGCACGATTTTCACTATTGATGGATGGAACAGTTGGAATCATTTTGATTGTCGTATCAATAAAACGATAATCTGACAAACAGCAGATGCTATGATAGCCACAGCTCTTACTGTAACTGGATATCAATATGGTCTTTTTTTCTTTTATTTTGTATATACAAATTATTATCTTTCTATTGTCTTTCGTAGAGAATTTGGATGGTGTCTGGCAAAAAAGTCAAGATGCCCAATGGATTATTCAACCTGATCCAAAAACTTGTCCCAGTGGCATTTCAACTCTATTAGATTATGTTCATTCTGGAAAACTCCAGTTTGATCATTATTTAGATGTGCAAGTCAAATTTTATTTTTGACGATACAACAGATAGATTATTTGAAACTTGATGGTCGTTATCTAGATGAAACTCCTGCAGCAGTAGACTATTCAATTATGCGAGACGCATAAAATGTAAGTGGAAGACCCCTCTTTCTACTCTTTATGTAGTATGCATACAAACTGGTAACACTTTTTCATATATTATTTGACATTTTTCTATCAAAGGTGGTGTTAGTCCAGCGGATCTGTGGCCACCTAGCCTCGGAAAAAGTTGATGAATAAAAAATGATATTCAAGATAATTGGACTTCAATGATTGGCAATATTAATCGCGTAAGCCTAGTTGACATCTTTCATATTTGAATACTTTTCTTTTTGTTCCAGAACAATTATCTTGCTCAGCAACCAGGTTCAAGTGGTTGGAATGATTCTGATAGTAAGTGATTATTTTATAATTAGTCTAATCTATTTTATCATATTCATTTAGTGCTCGAAGTTGGCAATGGTGGCATGATGGATTCAGAATATGCGAAGCATTTTTCTCTGTGATCAATTACTAAAGCGAAATTAACTCTTGGATATGATATTAGTAACATGAGTGCAGCCACTTTATCAACGCTTACTAAGCCAGATGTGATTGTTATTAAACAAGATCCATTAAATATTCAAGGAAAGAAAGTGTCTTTTGCATCATCACAATCATTAACCAATTGCTGATGTTTATTTAACAGAAGAAGTTCATAATGCTTTTTCGCCCTATAAAATATATCTCTTTGTAGTGCGGTTTACAGTTGAATTACTTATACGTAAATCTAGTGGACATTTCGATAGTTTTGTTTCTACTTAGCGTCAAGTAAATGAGGCATTAGACAATGTCCTGTAGAAGATTAAGAATGTGTAGAATTTTCTTTTATTTTTGAATGCGAATAGTCCATTTCGCATCGGCTATACTTCAAAACTATGTCAATCAAAGACTACATTAATATTTTATATTTTATAAGTATTTTTTCATTGAGACACCTTCATTTCCCTTTCAGCAATGTTTTTTTTTTAAATTGTCTTTTCCCAGTGAAATACAAAGACATTACACTAATGCAATCAGGAAAAACGTTTACGCTTTCCTCTACAGTCATTTTCTTATGATTTTTCTCAAGTAGAAGAGCTTCTAAACAGATGTAATTTCGTTCATCGTTATATTTTTTTTAAATATTATCCAAACGCTGTTACTTTGACTTCTTCTTTCTTTTGATAATAATATCTACAATTCAATCGTTAGTTTCAAACAAACGATATAGTGATAGGTAATTTATTGANTCACAATCATTAACTAATTGCTGATGTTTATTTAACAGATGGAGTGCATAATGCTTTTTCGCCCTATAAAATATATCTCTTTGTAGTGCGGTTTACAGTTGAATTGCTTATGCGTAAATCTAGTGGACATTTCGATAGTTTTGTTTCTACTTAGCGTCAAGTAAATGAGGCATTAGACAATGTCCTGTAGAAGATAAAGAATGTGTAGAATTTTATTTTATTTTTGAATGCGAATAGTCCACTTCGCATCGGCTATACTTCAAAACTGTGTCAATCAAAGACTACATTAATATTCTATATTTTATAGGTATTTTTTCATTGAGACACCTTCATTTCCCTTTCAGCAATGTTTTTTTTAAATTGTCTTTTCCCAGTGAAATACAAAGACATTGCACTAATGCAATCAGGAAAAACGTTTACGCTTTCCTCTACAGTCATTTTCTTATGATTTTTCTCAAGTAGAAGAGCTTCTAAACAGATGTAATTTTGTTCATCGTTATATTTGTTTTAAATATTATCCAAACGCTGTTACTTTGACTTCTTCTTTCTTTTGATAATAATATCTACAATTCAATCGTTAGTTTCAAACAAACGATATAGTGATAGGTAATTTATTGAAGTTGGTGAAGCACAAGGAACTGCTATTGTAGAGAGAAGGATATAAATAATAATAGTCTGAAATAAGGCAAACGAGTCAAAATAAAAATTACATAGCTTTAATTATTTCTGCAGGAGTTTAATTCTTTTTGATTGGGCTCGAATTTTTAGAAGGCTGAGTCGTGTCCATCGCTGATTACTACTACATGTATATGCAGTCTGAATTGTGTTTGCATAAATTGAGCGAAGAATTCTTGTCTTTTTATTTATTTTGATTTGATTTGATAGTTAATGCTATTGATATATCTCAAAGTTTAAGAGAAGGATTTCACTAAAAATTATGAAAAACTATTGGCATTTTGTTGTTCAATTCATAAATGATGGTGGAAAAATTTATATATTGCTATGCCAATGACTGAATCTTTGATTGCTAAGATTTAAGCGCCCCTCACAATGGACTTTTCCCTTAAAATGATGGTTTGAGCTGATATTTTTTTATATTTTCATTCAACTTTCCAACCAACTTTGCTTCCATTATGTATTCCTTTGTTCTTCATTTTTATCCTACAAGATGTAGATAAGAATTTGTTATTCTGTGCGCATCATGCGCGTATGCAACTTTCATCATGCGCAACTCTCGTCATGCGCATCTTTCATAGTCCCCCCTCCCCTCATGACGAATTCTTTAACTTTATCTATAAGAAAAGTACGCACTATTAACTTACAGTAAAATCGTACATACTAAATTCACACATCCCATGAATGACTATGCACACATAAAACATTTTGAATGAAAAGTACATTTTTATCACCTGCCACTTTTCGTATAGTACTCTATGAGAAGCCTGGATGAAAAACAGTATTTTAAAGATATCCAAATAGCGTTATTCTTTTATGATCATATCACATTGGTCAAATGTTTTGCTCATTTGAAATCATATGACAACACTTGACGTCAACTCTGTATGATATTACGACTATGAGAAATATAAATAAACACAATGATTTCGCAGCGACTTAGTTACATTTCATCAACAATTAATAAAACCGTCGTCTTCGCATACAACATCAACAATGAAAGTCTTCATTGCTCTTTGTGTCCTCTTCGTAGGCGCTTATTGTGCTCCTGTACTTGATAATCAACTTGGCAATGAATGGGCATTATTCAAAAGTGTCTATCAAAAACAATATAATACAACTGAAGAAGAAAATATTCGGTATGATATAAGAGAGTTTTTACAATTTGAAAACAATATTTTTTTTATTTCATTGATAGTCAAAAGATTTGGGAAAGAAATCTTGCCAAAATTCATCAACATAATCTTGAAGCTGATCTTGGCATTCATACTTATACATTAGGAATGAACCGATTTGGTGATTTGGTAGATTTCTTTCTCATCATTATATATGCAAATATACTATAATTGTTTATATAGACTAATGAACAGTTCAGACAACAAATGAATGGATTTAAAGCATTAAAAATAAAAAACAATCATGATCGCCACACATTCATAGCTCCATCAAATATTGTCCTTCCAAAGTCTATCGGTAGGCTTTTTTTGATTTAGGTTATTGTAAAATAATGACAAAATCTTCAAAAATATATTCATATAGATTGGCGTAAAGAAGGTTATGTAACACCAGTCAAAGATCAAGGACAATGTGGTTCATGTTGGGCTTTTTCAGCCACTGGCGCGCTTGAAGGTCAACATTTTGCCAAGACAAAAAAACTTATTTCACTTTCAGAACAAAACTTAGTTGATTGCTCAGATTTTGTTGGTAACATGGGTTGTTGGGGTGGCTTAATGGATCGTGCCTTTCAATATATCAAAATTAATGAAGGTATTGATACTGAAGATAGCTATCCATATGAAGGTGTTGATCGTCTATGTCGATTCGAAAGCGCTAATATTGGTGCCATTGATACTGTAATTATGAATTATTTTATAAAAAATTCGAAGTTATTTAAATATATAATTATGATATTTTAGGGATATATTGATATCACAGCTCAGAATGAAGATGATCTTCAACTTGCTATTGCTATCATTGGTCCTATTTCAGTTGCTATTGATGCATCACAAGATTCATTTCAATTTTATAAATCGGGTGTTTACAATGAACCAGCTTGTTCATCAACAAAACTTGATCATGGTGTTTTAGCTGTTGGTTATGATACAACAAGTTCAAATGATTATTATATTATAAAAAACTCATGGGGTACATCATGGGGTATGGAAGGATATATTTGGATGAGTCGAAACAATAAAAACCAATGTGGTATTGCTACCATGGCTAGTTATCCTCTTATTTGACCGAAGAACCATCAAAAGACAAAAAATTCTATACTTTTCTAAAAAGTTTATGTACAATTGTTTTTCTTTCTTTTTTCATCTTGTAAATAAATATGTAACCTGTGAAAAATCAATTCCTATTACAAAGCAGAAACATCATAAAAAACACACAAAGCATTGATATGCCTTTGGCTGTATCACCTAGAAAAGTAGAAAAAAAAAGAGCATGAATCGAAACTATTCTTATCTGATTGCTTTTTTAACAATATTAAATACTTGAATAAAAATGCTATTTTTTATTTACGACGATTTACAGAGTACGCAGCTACATATATACCACGCCTCGTATTCTGTAAGGTTATCAAAAACCCTCTCCAGAAACTTTCAGAGATATACTTGGAGAGAGTCGGCTAACGGAAGGGCAAAAAGTTTTGCATCTTACTGTAAATCTTCATATATTCGTTATTTAAAAAGTATGTTTAGTCAAGATGATAGTATTGAAAAAAAAAACTATTACTTTTAGTCTGAATTGATTAATTTTTCAACAGAATAAGGTTATGGACAATTAAATTCGATATGGAATAATAGTAAAATGTTTGATTGACTTATTGAAAATACTGATTTAAAAATCTCAATTTGGTTTTGATTGTTTAAATCAGCGGTGCAGAATCTACTCGTGTGCGCCGACGGCCGTCGGGGGAAATTTTTGAAAATTCATTAGCATCTGGGGAAATTTTCGAAATTAATCTCGGTTTATTTATGCAAACTTTGATTAGNCAGTCTCGATCTTAATGCTATTGAGTACGTTTGAACGTGGATGAATAACTATGTTCTACAACGGCATCCACATTCTCAACAGCACTTGGAAAGATTAGTTGCAGCAGTATGGAATGAGATTCCTCAGAACGTCATACGTGGATATATAGAAGAAAAAATTTCGGACAGAATAATAGAAATATATGGAATGATAGAGAATTTGAAGCGCTATTAGATTGTGTAGTTTCTTTCCTAAAAACTTATTCTTACAACAATGCTAATTTCAAAAGAGAAATAAAAAAGTAGCAAAACATGTAGATGTTTTTGTCTTTCTTAAATGAGGTTGTGTTCAACGTGGCCAATTTTGTTTACAAGAAACAAAGGCAAAATAAAAGATATATATACAGGATGCTAGAGTATTTCAAGTCCTATTAGAATACATATTTGCTTTTTCGAAAAGCTACCTCTATAGTGATGATAAAAGTAAAATATTCAATGGGACGACAATAAGAAAAAAAAATGTTGGTAATCTGGACATGAGGGTGCCTTCATTGCACTCGATTTATTTTGATAATGTCTCAGTACAAACTAAAAGATAAATATGCAGGGCGATAGAAAGCTCCATGTGCTTTCAAAATATGTAATTAGGTTTAAAAAATCATTTTATTATGGTGACAGAATCATTGAAATGCTGACTGCAGCTATTTTTTTCCAGGGGCATAATTATGAATAGTAATGCACGTAAGTGACACGTTTTCTCTTACAAGGTAACGTTCTCAGGTACCGCAGCGCTTTTCAGTCGAGATTTCGAGCATCTTGCAGCTCATCATGAGCTGTGTCTATGATAAAAAGAAGTTCGGATTTTTTGGCTTGTTTCTGAGGAGATCGAACGTTTTTAGTGAATTTTCACTAAAGAACATGACATTTGCAGCAAGACCAGGTTGTTAAATTTTGACCTGAAACTTTGGCCACAGAAAGACGGCATCTAGACTAGTTTCCATGAAAAATTTAAGAACTTTTGAGCTACGACTCTCTGAAATGTGGAGCCTTCAAGGTAGAGGCCGTTTTTGATAGGTAATATATACAGCATGTATTTTTTTATGGAAACTAGTGTAAATGCCATCTTTATGTGGCCAAAGTTTCAGGTCAAAAATCGACAACCTGGTCTTGTTGCAAATGTCATGCCCTAGAGTGAAAATTCACTAAAAACGTTAGATCTCCTCAGAAACAAGCCAGAAGCCCTGACTTTTTTTACCGTCGACATAGGTCACGATGGGATACAAGATGCGCGAAACTCCGACTGAAAAGTACTCTGGCACCTGGGAATGTTCCTTTGTTAGCGGTCTATGTTTCTAGTGGCATGAAAGTGGTTATTTTCCTATTAGATTTCTGTTACTGTCTGATGTTTCGTGTTCCAATAAATACATCAATACTTAGAGAAGCACCCTAAAGTCTATTGAAATTTATGAAAACAAGGAGCTCTTGCTCACACATACTCAGAATATTAAAAAGTGTGTTAGTTGTGCAAGACAATCAAAAGTAATCGGTATAAAAATATAGTCCATTCGAGGAGCATATGGTTTACTTTTCAAGGAATCAAGTTCTAAGCCATACTCATTGTAACCATCTGCAAAACGGTTCTACGTTAAATTAGATATGCTCTTTGCTCCTGCGGATTTTTCGGTTTTGAAATATTAATTGTCGACCTAAGTCACACTGTCAGACCATTGGCACGAGAAAGAAACATTTAGATTATTGTATACAAGACGAACTTAAACGAATGTCGTCAGGTTAACAACTGATTTAACTGTGATGAACAGCTGCGATAAACTCTTATAGACTCTTAGGCGTAGTTATTCTCTGATCTAGTAGTTACTGAGTGCCCTGGATTTTCGTAGCATATTGGAAAGTGTCTACACGCCTCTACTTGCCTGATGAGAAACGACTGAAAGGCTGGGTATGGCAACCTCTTCTACTCTATATCATGGAAACATCTACTATTTTGTGATAACTGCAGGCAACTACGGCAGTTTTGATAATATTTCTAAGTAGAACCTTCTTCGTGAACTCCTATCAAAAGTTATTGTTGCGTTGTTTTCATCCGAACAATAACTAGAACAAAACTCGAGTTTAGAACTGTAATAGGTTGGATAGGTAGAGAGAATTGATAAACACTTCAAAAGAGCTCGCCGACCAACTACAGTTTTTAGAATTTGATCTTATTGAGTAGTTTTTCTCCACTGGCACAATTGTAATTTTATATGAGGATAAAAAAATATAATGACTTTTTGACCATAGCGATGTTTTACGACGAGTATGTTGTTTCATCCACTTTCTGGTTCGCTTCTCACGCATACAATCAGGGCCCAAAAACAGCATGCACATTTTTATTTTTTCGTTTATAAAAATTATAAACACAAAAGGCTTTATATTCAGTACTTATATCACCATCATTGTCAATTATTGTTTACAATCGTTTTGTATATCCAGTAACGTGGTTTTTTGCAACACTTTTGTGTTTATCTACAGGACAAAAAACTTCAAAAATTTGAAGCAAGATAAGAATGTACAGTCTTGTGGGGATTCTCACTGTAAGGAATATCTACCGATAATCTAACAAGCCTGTAAATCATTTTGACAGCAGAGTTGGACCCGCAGAAAGAAAAAAACCTTCAGAAAAAAGATTTTGAAATTGTTTTCTTGATCCAGTTAGAAGACTCAGGTCTTCTAATACACCTTTCAAACTTTTGACCAAAGAGTCTTCTAATGTGAGATGGGGTTTACGTACACTTGAAGGCGATGACATACAAAGCCCTTTAAATCAGGTAAGACTAATGCATTGAATTGATAAAAACCTTGAAGCAAATGCACCTAAGCAACATTTATGACATTTTTTTGACTTCCTATGTGTAACTTCTGACGGGTGCTGAAGGTCAAGAATCCGCGGAAGGTCATGAAAATGCATAGTATTCATCGGAATCCGAAACCTATCACAATTATGATCCCGAATAATAAAATCAACAATATCCAAAATTTTACACAGCGAGAATCAAGTGAAAATTGATAGAGAATTGATTGAAAGTCAAATGTAAACGAGAGAAGATGAAGAGGTTGCTTATACATGTAAATGTTGCCCATGTCGTGTCTTTTTAGCGACTGTGACGCACTTACGGCGTAACTGCGTCGTAATTCGATCGCAATCGAAGAAATGGGGGGGAGGGGAGCAAATCAGCAATTTTTACTCAGCTTTCTCCGATTGTCATTCAACTATTCAAATCTTCACTTTTGGAGTTCTAGAACATTCGTTTTATATGTTTCTTATTTTTATAGTATGGCCTATGGATGGCGGGTGAAGGCTTAAATGAGGAAGAAAAACGTCAGCTGAAAATCCGTCGAAAAACATTCGAACTGAATCGCAAACAGTTTGCTACGAGTAACTATCACAATACATTTGGGACGAAAAATGATGGTTTGAGTGAGGCCATTGCCTGTTACGGCTGTCAGAGGAAGCCAGCCATACAAGAGCTGCGAGAACACTCAATCATCTTCGTCGATGGCACCGAAGAAGAGGTGGACGAGATCATTTGTTGTACAGGCTTCGAAAATCGTTTTGCTTTTCTTGATGATAACATAAACGACGAAATCTTACAACAAGTTGGACGGGATGCACGCATCTCTCGCAATCTTTACAAGCACTCAGTTCATCCACTCATGGGCGCTGGTCTCTTCTTCGTCGGTTTTGTGCGACCCACCTTCGGTGCCATCCCACCATTGGCAGAAATGCAGGCACGTTGGTTCGCTCTACTCTGCTCGGGCTCTCGCACCCTTCCTGATGAGGTAAGAAAAACGAAAAATATGTTTTACACATCAACTACAGAAATCTCTGATATAATTAGATAACATGCTTGAAAAACATTATTGCAAGTACTTTTGAAAATCTATTTCGGGAGTTGCATATATAAAATATTTGCACGAATTTATTTTTTGAAGTATCCCAATTTGTCGCTTTCAAATAAATTCATTATACCCTTGCAAGCATGAGACATACAAATGCGCTTCATATAGCTGATGTCATACATATCCGAGAACATAGGCTGTAAAAGATTGGCAAACTTAACCAACCCTCAACTTCATTTCTTTTTTGTTCTCAAAAACCAATTTTGAGTTTATTCACTCTAAAAACTCTTTAATAAAAGCTGTCGGCCTAAATATTGTCAAAAGGATTTTTCTTTTGTTTCGAATTTATAAATTCTATAGGGTACAGC